GTTTCAAAGGAGAGATATTCTGAGTCTCTATTCACAAAGGGGAAATACTATCAACCCAATGCACATATACATATATAAAATATGAAAAAGTAAAAAAAAAAAAAGCAATGTATTTTGCTTCATTTTTTGGATGGGGATACTTATCTTCCATAATATCACATGATCAAAATACATCAATATTCAAAATATATCAGTTTATCAAAAGGGAAGAGAAGCATTGGTTCCTGGTGTCTTCCTGCATGATGGCTTATAGGAAGATTCCCGGTGAACTTATCAATCATGTTACCTTTAAAAAGAGAAAAAAGTCCTTCAAGGAGGACAGACAGAGTTCAACAGATACATAACCTTTCTACAGAAAGCTGCCTTGTTTTCCCAAGCAAGACCTTGATTCTCATCTCTAAGCAGCCTTCAAAAAGAAAGATAGAATGAAAGAGAGTAGCCAGGCTGGAATGAGGTGTAGAGGAAGGACCACAATGGTTTTGCTGTTAATTACCTGCAAGCATATGCTAACACTTGTTTCCTTTTTAACTTTTTTTTCCCTTTCTTTCTCCTTTTGATACAGTCGTGACACTCATCTCTGATAGCTGTCAAGACATTATATCGGAGCTCTTTGTTGTTGATTTAAATTTTCTAGCAAATGAGAACTAAATGTCAATATATACACCTGCACACACACACACACACACACACACACACACACGCGCGCACGCACACGCGCACGCACACACGCGCACACACACACACAACTTCACTGCTATGAGTCCAAACAGCTAGGCTTTACATCCAGCTCAGCTGGTGTTACATTAGGGTGTGACCTATGGAAATGCACCCAAGGGTGACTGCCAAACTAAGCTGTAGAAGGCAACTCAGTGCCAGGGAATCCCATAATAAGCTATATTACACAAATCACATTGGAGGGCAGCTTGACAAGAATATTGACACCTCTCCATCTTCATACCAATATTCCTCTCCTTCTAAAATGCTTGGGTTTTTTGTTGTTGTTGTTGTTTTTTGGGGGTCACTAAAACATGGGTCAACATTGGACACAGCAGACACCATCACAGGCTGACACGGCAGAGACAAGAGTTAGCTAACCAACCCTCAACATAATACCCCCCGCTCTGAGAATTTCGTCTTCCTTCAGTGGCTCGAGAGGTCAACTGGTTTCTTCCAGCCTCAATTTTCACATGTGAGAAATAGAACTCGGAATACACGTCTGCCTCACTGTGTTCTAAAAACGGAAACTAGCTATGAAAAGAAGGAATGTAAAGCGCTATGAAAAGAATAAACTAGATTCCCTGACCTGATTATTGGTGAGAGCCCTGTAAAACGAGAATTACTACTTCTTCCGATTCCATACATGCCACCTGGTCATCAAGCCGATCAACAGTAGTGACTGCATGGCTGAGCTTCAAAGTAATAGAAACAAAGTTTAAGCCACACTGTATTTCCATACTCTTTAAGGTATGACCTGCTCCGAAAATGCATTTATTGGCCTAAAAGTAGATGTAAGGGAAAAAATATGAATTTTGAACCTTCAAAATTGCTCAAAGACTAATGAGATGGTTCAGGGGGCAAAAAAAAAAGCTTGCTGCCAAGGCTGGTGGCCTGAGATCAATAGCCATGATCCACACAATGGAAGGGAAGAATTGACTCCAACCCACTCTCCCGTGCCCTTGCAATGCACGCCATGGCATGAGCACATACATACACATAAATTAATTAGTAACTCTATTTTTTAATGAAATGTTAAAAACAGACAGCCGTAAGTATAGAATAGTTTGAAAATGATACTCTGGCAAGGATACAAGAATTAGGAGCAAGCTAACCCAGAAACAAACTGAGTCACAAGGTAAGTTTCATCTCACGGGCCAAAACACAGTACAGATTATTTTTATATCATTCTGTCTGAGTTGTCTCTTTCAGATTCTTAGCTTCCAGATTCTGTTTCTAAAGTCACTTAACACTGTGTATTTCCAGTAGCCGTCAAGGCACGTACTGTCATCCTTGACACGGAAGATTGTCAGCAAACTCAACATGGGCACTAATGATCTCAGGCAACAATGTCCACACTCCTATCAAAGAGATCTTTATTCTAGAAGAAGAAGTCTATCGTGTTCCTCGAAAAATCACTCTAAAACACAGGAAGGGATCGTTATAAGACGTCTGGATCACCAATATCTGTTACTTCCTTGGAGGTTATCTTATTCGTGATTTTAAAGCCCCAAACTGTCAGGCATTATAACGTTTTTTCCTTCTCTCCCAAGTCGTCCCTGCTCTAATCGTCAAATAACGATGGCTGCTGTCACTGTTTTTATGCCATAGCTGACACCCGGTGTACAGATGCCCTTCATCTTAGAACAGTCACTGAGGCCACTAAACTGATGATCGGTATCTTACTTATAATGATACTGACCCCTTTCCTGCAGGCAGAGTAAATGGGCTATCATACCTCACTGGTGCTACGGGGCAGGATGCTAGTTTATGAAAGATCATGGATTGGTTTGGGTTTTTTTTCTTCTTCTTCTTCTTCTTTATGCTACTTAAATAGAATCCTCTCCCCTAGTTACATATACAATCCCTCGTTCCCACTTACTAGACACCACCTTATCCTATCAGAAAAGTTTGCACACTGACTTCTAGTTTTAATACTCCCAGTCCAAACTTTGGAAGCCACGTTTGGAAGAAGTGGACTTGGACGAAATATATTTGAAGATATCTTTTAATGCGGAGAACACGTTATTTTCATTTATCAAAGTCAATGGCGTGTGTAAACAGAGAAAGAAATGAGTGATCTCACATAGGAGTGAATTTTCAGGCCCCACATACAAAATTTATTCCAAGTTACGAACATCCCAGGGACCGATTCTAGGTGTCTGTTCTAATTAACAGACAAGAGTCTTTCTCCAACTCTGTTTGCTTTGGCAGTCTACAATGCTGATATTCTCCTGGATCTCACAGAGAGGAAAAATGGGTATCTTCTCTATCTAACACCTAAGTGGGTAACCTAGATACTGTAAATAGAGGCTACATAAAGGATGCAACAGACCGCTCTGAAGTGAGAGCCAAAATATTTAACCAGCAACTCTAAAAACACGGAGAGCTTAGCCAAAGACTGTATTAACATGGAATTGCCACAGGCTAATACATTTTTTTTTTTTTAAACCCACAAAATTACCAAACTGACATTTACTGTTGCTGGGTGAGAAAAGCCCAAAGTGTGGGGGGGAAATGCAATTCTTATTTGTCCAAATTAATCATTTTCTTACTTTGCAATGTTTATTTTTTAAAAAGAAGGAAAATGCCTTTTTGAATGAAGCAGTCAGAAAAGCAGACCACGAAGGGTCAACTAAGCAAATACTTTCTTGCTAATTTTCTGGTGGTAACTAGGATGACAGGTTAGTCTGATCAACAGTTACTCCCTATTTTACATACTCAATGTTTTTAACAATAGCTAAAGATCAACTAGAATACAATAGAAACTCCTTGTAAATCTAACTTAACCTACCAGAGATTTTTATGAAAAAGTGGTTTCTAACAAATAAAAACATATTCTACCAAAGTACTACTAACATTAAATATTAAAGTGCAAGATCTCTATACACTGTTACAGTAATATAACTTTTCTCAAATCAATAAGCATAAAAAAGTGCTACAATATCCATCAAAAGAGAAGTAACAATATAATTCAGCGTGAATCACTCAACAACATCATTACTTTTTCCTTTCTACATCATAGAGGGATTTCAAAGCCCACCTCAAGAATGAAATTTTTTGAATAAGTTTTCCTCATTCATAAAAGAAAGAAAACTTTTAAATGAAATAAAGTCAAAGAGTTTAATGACCATTTCAAGTCAGTAGCCAAAATCATTTGAAGGTAATGAAGTGAAAAATGTATTTAAGGGTAATTGATAAACCTTTGCTTAGAATTCAGAGGTCTTCACTAATTATAAAGTTTATAGCTTTCAAGTAACTTAAGTCAGCATAGAAGAAAGAACGAGAAAGGAGAACTTCAGATAACCAGAATTGACTTAATATTCTTATAATTAACTAGGTTATTCAGTTATTAAATCTCCAAAGAGGAAAAGATAGTCTCCTTCACATATCGCCCAAGCAGAAAAGTTGTAAATCAAACTAAACTTAATATAAGCCATGCCCTTTCTACTTAAGACCATAACATATACCCCAAAGTGCAAAGGAAACATCCCAAGTTGTTCTGAGTAGGAGGCGTAGACCATTTGCACTTAATTAACTAATCTGATAAGACATTTTCATTAAGAGACCAACTACAATCTTAACAAATAAAAGCATCAGACACTCACAGCAGGCCAATTACCTTTTTGATACCCTCAACAATGTATATTACATTCCATATCAGAAACACCAGAAGAGCCAAAACTGCCATGCCTGCAAGCCCAAAACATGCTTCCAAATAGTCTTACTTCTTGTCTGGACAATCTAAAACAAACTGCTTTCGCCTTTGTTAAAGAAATGGATGTGAATGAGTGCCACAAACTGTCAATGACATCTCACTTCTAACCCTTTTACACTGCCTCCTCTGTTTTGAAAAAGCAAACAATACTTCAATCCTACCACTGATGTTTTAGCTTCATACCAAGGCAACAAAATTTCTGCTTTTTTTTTTTTTTTAAATAACTACGAAGAAGGCTTTGGAAACGACACTCTTCTACGATGTTTTATCAAGCAACAACAAATCTAGGTGTGAACCTTCAAGTCGAAACAATAGTCAGCAAATCCTAACATTTCTTACCTGGCACAGGTAAGCACCAGCTCGCAAACGCCACCTTGGGATAGTTCAGACTAGTAAGTAGGCTCATGGTTTATGAACGGAAATAAATCTGGGTTGCTCTTCCCTCAGCAAAAGCTACAGCAGTCGCTACACCACAGAGTGAGCAGACCCCACAGACCTGACAAGTTCAAATCTCTCTCATTTGAGAATTTAAAAAAAAAAAAAAAAAAAACATAAAATGAAGACTTACTGCTTGTCATGTGACTCGGGGAGGCGTGCTGTCCATTGGGTGTGCTTGAGGTGAGGTCAATGGCCATATTGGCGTGCTCCCCTTCGGGTGAAAGCTCATTGTCACCTGCTTTTAAAAAATAAAATCTTTTGGTTTCTGTTCTTTGTCATAGAACATCTAATTACCCGGACTGCCTCATATTCAAAGGGCATGCAGAACTGAATGCTTAAGAAACATGCTTTTCTTTTAGGAGAAACTATAAAGAAATAAAACACATAGTAAATGAATGAAATGAGAAAAAAACTAGCCCATAATAAAAAAAAAATGAACAAACTTTATTATCATAAAACACTCTTACGGGTCAATGGGAATAGGAAGCATTTGAGATCCAAAATAGTTCTAGTGAAAACAGTACATTTTTTTTTTAATGATCTAATTTAATTCTTCAATATAGAGTACTTAAAGTGAACATTTCCTAAAATGTTAGCTGGATGGCTCAAACAGAGCTTGCTTAAAAAAAAAAAAAAAAAGCAAAAACAAAAATGAACTTAAGAAGCTAATTCTTTCATACTATGAGTCTGGAAAATTAGGTCACCTAGCAGTTAAATCTTTAGTAGACACCACACTAGAAGATATATCTGTGACCGGATGTATTCTAAATTCAAACTAAGTGGGGAAAACAATCAACTAGAAAACTCAAGATCTGTAAGCTACAATTACTAAATAATGCCCTTTATCAAATGAGTATGTTTCTATGTCCTCCTTCTTATATTTTGCTTCTATTAATCCTTCCTCATGTTCATTAAAAGGTAAAATGGTGACTGGCAAATAAAACCAGGAAACTCGTCCTAAAAACTCAAGGCTCAGGAATTCACATGCAGGTACCTGCGAAGCTAACTTGATTCCCCTCCCCTCCCCCCGAAAATGAATGGGAATGAGTACTCACATGTTAAGTAGCCATCAATAGTCTCTGTTTCCATAGTCAAAGTGAAGTGCTGTAAAACAAAAGATTACCACCTTAACCCAAGGATGCCTCTAGGTAGGTATCTGCCAGGAAATTCTTAACTTATTGGAAGCCCCAAGCAGCTAGTCCATGTTGCTCCTGCAACCTGTGCCCAAGAAACATGCTACAGTGTACTGTGTGTGCTCATTTGCCAGTCACTGAACTCTCTGCAAATGATCTGATCCCTGCTGGAGATAGGATAGGGAAGATAAGTGTGTGCTGTGAGATGACTGTAGCAAGCAAAGAAGGACGCTCTTACTCAAAAGTCACCTGTTTTATCAGAAAAAAAATAAAAGAAAAAGAAAAAGAGAAGAAAATGCAGAGGGGGTATACCTCGAATTTGCCAACTTTAACTGCCATCTAAGCATTTGACCATTGGCTACTTCCCACAATCACACTATCGTTTGAGGACTTCCCTAGTATACAGACAGCTCTATTCACAATTGTTGCGAGTTGGTTCATCATGTTCTAATAGGGAGGGGAGAGCAAACAAACATAAGAAAACAAAACAAAACAACAATACTGAGTGCTAGACTGCATCTTGAAGACTTTTGCAGGAGTTTGGCCAACTCTCCGGCTTGTATTGACATTTTAGCCTACCCCAAATTCTGTGTAAGCACCTGTTCAACGTACCCTTAATTTCCTGCCAGACTATGGCTGGAGACAAATGCCAAGCCTACTTAAGACATTCGGATTTCCAACATTTCAGAAACTTTCTGCCTGTGCACGAGGGGATCATTTTCGACCCAAGTACGAGGGAATGGTTTTCATGCACCAATAACACAAAACAGAACTTAATCCCCAGAAACAAAAGTAAACAGCAAGGGACGACACCCCCTAGCTTTGATTCCATAATGAAAAGATCGATAATCTAACTGTATTCTTTTGAGGGGAAAAGTTAAAGAATTGACAAGAGCTGAAAAGAATTTTTTTTTTTTTTTACTTATTTTTTTTCCCTTTGGCCCTGGTCCTTTTTGCCTTTAGTTTCAAAACTCTCACAGCAGCAGCAGCTAAATTATTCACAATGAGCCATTTCTGTATTGATCGCCAAGTATATTTAGCCCTGGCTCCTGGAATTTCTCCATTACTTACTGGAAAACAGGCAGCTTCACTTCTTGTCTCCAAAACCACTTCCCTTCTCCCCCCCACCCCACTTCACCACCAGCCTCCCTCCCCCCCACCCCCCAAAAAACTTTTCTTTCTTTCTTTATGGAATAATCAGATCAAATTCTCACCTCAGTAACTACATAGCAGTTAAATCCCGACCTGCTCTACTCTTATCAAATTCTTTCAATTATGATTACATAAGGCTTTAAAGAAAGGGATCCGTAAAGTTTAAAAGGGGAGCAGTTTCTACGGAGATCTTACAGATGAGTCTATCTCTTTAAAAATGTACACATTTAACACCCATACTGAAAAGAAGCGTCAGTTAGAAGCAAAAGAAGTCTGCCCCATCAGTGAACTGGTTACTAAACCCTCAGAGAAGGAAAAGAAAGAAAAGGGATAAGGAGAAACGAAATGTACATACAAAAGAAATTGTCCTTTGATTAAAAAACATTCATCACCATTTCCAGCTCTGTCGGGAGATCCCAGCTTCTTCTAACCCCTCCAAGAGGAGGTGACAATGTCGGGCTGAAGAGAAACGGAGAAAGAAAGAAAGAAGTTTTTTGTGTTCCCCCCCCCCTTCCCTCCCTGGCCCCCTCCAGGCCAAGCCCCCTGCAGAGTTCAAGGCGAGGAGGAGGGAAGCACTTTACAGGTGGGTCATTCCAAGCCCGAATCCAGCAAACAGATCGGCTGATAAACAAAACCAAGAAATGAGAGAGAAGGAACACTCCCCCCCAACCTCCTCCTCCTCCTCCTTCTCCTCCTCGTCCTCCTCCTCCCCCGCCCCCGCCCCCTCGTCCCTTTGGGATGGTCTAGTAGGAAAAGTCACTCAGGAATGGCACCACGTACTTTCAGGAAAGAGGAAAAAAAAAAAGAGAGGGAGGGAGAGAGGGAGAGAGAGAGAGAGAGAGAGGTCAGTCAGTGCTACAGCAATGCGATTAACAAGAAGAGAAAAAACTTGATCCACCGGTTCCTTAAGAATCGACCAAAAGCTAAGACGAGAAAACTGAAAGAAAAAAGGGGAGGGGGGGTACGAGGGGAGGGACAGTCAGGCAGAACCCAGCAAGGAACCTAGGCCAACTTCACAGGACTGTTTTGTGGCCTCTGGCAAAACAGAAAAAAAGAAAAAGAAATTAAATCTTCATTCCATCTCTCTCGCCCATACCAGAACCTGTCAAAGCGATTTAACTGCTGCTTTAATACATGTGTCACATTAGAGTGGTTTTTTTTTTTGTTATTATTTTTGTTTTGTTTTGTTTTGTTTCCAATCTCAACAGGAGAACACCTTGTATCTAGACAGCTGCAATTTACGCCAGGCTATCCAATCTTTTCTTCTTGGAATTCAAGTTAAAACAAAGCAAAAACAAGTCCAAATCCATGACAGCTATAGAGATGAGAACTGATTAATCCATTAACATCCCAGAAGCAGATTACAAGGAGGGGACCATACATTAAGGACATCATCTTCCACCAGATTCCCTGAGCGTCCTTTACAGAAATCGTTACCCCTAATCAGAGCCACGACCCATTCCTCCCCAAAGAAAAGCGCCTATATTATTATCATCCCTGGTTAACAGCAACAAGTCATTCGATCACACCACACTGCCAAACAAGATTCCATATAATTACACTTAACTTTGAAAACACTCCCCCCCTCCCGCTTTGCAAACCATACACGAATTGATATATAATCTATGAATCAGAAGACAAATAAAACAAGAGCTGTTCTTCCCCCACGCAAAAAAGAAAAAAGAAAAAAAAAAAGCCAAGCGGAGATTTACCTCAGCCGTGCATGCAGTAAAATAATCCCATCACCCTTTTGTTTGTGTTTACTGTTAGTGTGTCCTCTCCCTCTCTCTCTTTCTTTCTTTCCTTGTGCCTAACGTGTGTTTGTGCACTGCAGTTGGTGGTGGAAACTAAGGCAGTGGAGCTGTAGCTAAGGGTAATCCTGTTTTTACTTCCTCCATCTTCAGCGAGGAGCAGGGTTAGCCCGGGACAGCTGGTCAAACCCCGAGAAACCGATCCGGCGGAGCCCGAGCACATCTCCCCCGCCGGCCCCGGGCTCGCGCAGACGCCCG